TGCTGCTTGGCCTGCTGTGTTCATCCAGCCCTGCACCTTGTTGTCTCAATGGAAAGTCAGAGTTTTTTTTTCCACAGGGTAGAATTGTCAATTGCGAGAGGACATAGTTTTAAGATAAAAGGGGGTAGGTTTTTAAAGGAGAAACGAGAGGCAAGTTTTTACACACAAGGTGGCTGAAATGCACTGCCGGTGGAGGTGGATACAATAGCAACGATTAAGAGGTACCTTGACATGGCAGGGAATAGGCAGGGAATAAAGGGGTGTGGACAGAGTAGAGGCAGAAGGTTTTTAGTTTAGAAAGGCATCATGTGTTCTTTGTTCTTATAAATGGCTATTCAGTTTCAAGTTCTTTTTGATTGTTGAACTGTCAACCTTGTGATTTCATCTTCTTAGTAAATGGTTGGACTTTTGGATTCTTGAAAAATCTATTGAAAATGTTACTAGTCTACTGAGATTAAATTCACGATAGCAATTGTCTCATGTCTATAAAGCTGCAGTAGTTAAAGTATCTGGCTCTAACCTGTGTGGCACAAGCTTATTTTCATTCGTCAGTAACCATTTCACTCGAATGTTTTGACTGACACGGTTTCGTTGTCACTGTTTGGAAAATCCAGCCCAATCTCATACAGGTTGGGGGTTAAGTTAAGTATGAGGCTAGTTGAATAGTGACTCAGGAGTTAGGTTATATGTTTAATACTCTAACTTTTCCTGATTAACAGTTTACATCATTTCATCCAATCCCTCCGAAGTCTGCAATTTAAATCACAGGCTATCAGAGGGTTCCATGCTTTGCGGATTTGCCCTTTGGGATCTTTAATCTCCAGGCAATTCCTTTAGTGTCTGCTGTGATGTGGATTCCACGGGGTCCCCAGTGCAAAACCTCATTTACATTGGAATAATGACTGTCTGACCATTAGAAAATCTGGGCCTTTATCTCAGGAATTCTGTCTGATGGGATTGTTCAAATATTTATCATTTATCCAGAATATTTGAAGACAGTGATGATTGGATATCTTGCCATGTCTACTCAACAAAAAAGAATTTATTGAGACAATATATATCCTCAGCACAGTTCGCTTGTCTTTTGTCATATTTGTGGGCTTTAGGTTGTGCTTAGATGATCAGTGAGTCTCAGAAATGTAAGTAACCCAACCTCTATACAGTGCCACATTTGGTAGTTTAAAAGCTACCCAGAGGATTATACAGGTAATTTGACCAGCTAAGAATGAACTAATTTTTTAAAGTTGGTCAACATTTAAACTTGTTTTCTTCATTTAATGGATTTCTGATTTTTGCTTTAAATTTCAAACCTAGATATTTGCAATTTTTGGATTTGCAACATGTGGTGGATTCAGTGGCAAAACTGCACTGAATGTGAAATGCAAAGACGCCAATGACACTCAGTTATTTACAGCGAACTTCCAATATCCATTCAGGTTAGTGTGCGTTGGTCTTTATTTTTGAAATACTATTAATGGTGTCAACTCAACTTCTTTGAGTTCAGTTTAATTGGTGCAGAAAATGTAATTTTGCACTCCCTTAAATTGCTTTTAAGTTCTGCTGTTCAACAGGCAGGTTTAATTTGTCAAATTTCTATGCAAGTTTAGCAGTCGTTTGTAGTCCTCTGATGCTTCAACTAAACTGAAACTTTGAGATTTTGTGACAAAGTTTGCATCTGTTGTACTATGCAATGTTGAGTATCTTTTCGCATGTGGAAGTTCTTTTTCTCCCAAATCTGTTGCCTGAGCAGATCTTCCTCTGTGTGCTGACTGGACAAATAATTGCATATGAATATGCAAACATATATTCGAAAAATCATATGTAAGAAGTGATGTTGACCAAGGAAATAAATGAGATAGAGATAACAGTGTGGAGCTGGAGGAGCACAGCGGGCCAGGTATCATCAGAGGAGTGGGAAAGTTGGTGTTTTGGGATGGGGGAGGGGGAAGGGAGCTCTGAAATAAATAGAGGAGGGTGGGGCTGGGGAAGGTAGGTGGGATGGTGATAGGTGAGTGCAAGTAGGCAGTGGTGGGGATTGGTCAGTGAGGTGGGAGGAGCAGATAGGTGGGAGAGAAGATGGACAGGTTGTGTCCGGTCAGGGAGGCGGGGATGAGAGGAAGGGTTGGTCATGGGATGAGGCCGGTGGTGGGGAGATTTTGAAACTGGTAAAGCCCACATTTAGGCCATTGGGCTGTAGGCTCCTGAGGCAGAATATGAGGTGCTGCTCTTCCAGTTTGCGGGTGGCGTTGTTGTGATACTGGAGGGGGCCCAGGATGGACATGCCGCCCAGGGAGAGGGAGTGGGAGGGGGAGTTGAAATGGTTCATCACCAGAAGGTGTTGTCGTTTGTTGTGAACGGAGCGCAGGCGCTCTACAAAGCGTCTGCCGCTCCCGGAGATTGCTTTGTAGAGGCAGAGGCTCAGAGACCACTTTATAGAGCACCTGCGCTCTGTTTGCAACAAACGATAACACCTTCCTGTTGCGAACTATTTCAACGCGCCCTCCCTCTCCTTGAGCAACATTTCCATCTTGGGCCTCCTCCAGTGTCACAATGACGCCACCCGCAAACTGGAGGAGCAGCACCTCATATTCTGCCTCGGGGGGGCCTACAACCCAATGCTCTCAATGTGGACTTTAGCAGCTTCAAAATCTCCCCACCCCCGGCTTTATCCCATGCCGAATCCTCCCTCTCATCTTCGCCTCCTTGACCTGACACAACCTGTCCGTCTTCTCCCCCACCTGCCTGACCAATCCCCACCACTCCCTACCTGCACTCATCTATCACCATCCCACCTACATTCCTCAGCCTCACCCCTCCTCTCTCTATTTATTTCAGAGCTCCCTTCTCCCTCCCCCATTTCTGAAGAAAGGTCCCGACCCGAAACGTCAACTTTCCTGCTCCTCTGATGCTGCCTGGCCTGTTGTATTCCTCCAGCTCCACACTGTGTTATCTCTTACTCCAGCATCAGCAGTTCTTACTATCTCCGAATAAATGAGGTAGACTTATCTCTAATAGGAATATGTTGCTGAGTGTTACTGTATTAGCATTTGTAGGAGGACTTTCATATTTATTAGCCAAGGCTAATAAATGATGATACATCTGAGTATTTTTGAGAACCAAATAAGTAGGTAGCAAGCGTAATTGGTGTGTAAAAGTGATTATTGAATTAGTTTGATATTTTCCAGGTTGAACACTGTTTCAATCATTCCCAAGAATACCTGCAATCAAACTACAGCCTTCTACCTAATGGGAGATTTTTCATCTTCGGCTGAGTTTTTTGTTGCAATTGCAGTATTGGCCTTTATCTACTGTACCGCCGCCCTTGTTCTCTATATCGGGTATCTCCACATCTACCGGGATGGCAGCCGTGGACCGATGATTGTAAGTAACTTGGGAACATTTCCATGAACTCGCCAGTAGTTTGACTTTACACGCCATTATAATATGGTGAGAACCTAATCAAGTTGTAACTTTGTCACAGCTTGAAGTTTTCAGCCCTTATCAACCATAACCCATAAGGAATAGGTCAGTAGGGATAAAATAAGGGAAGGCAAAGGCTCTTGGTACCGTGGAAGAGTTCTCATCTCTGGGCCAGGAGGTCTGGGTTCAAGTCCTACCTGCCCTGGATGTGTGTCATAATATGTCTGAACAGGTTTATTGAAATAACTAAGCAGGGGAGGGCCAAATCATTCAAGGCATGGTGTATTGCTGACAAAGCATTACCATGGACTTGCCTCTGTTGTGTAGTGCTAGCAGTTATTTGATCTCAGTCCTAACTTTAGCTGATTATGCCATAATTGGCTTTTGCACAGACACGTAGCAAATCGCTTATTTCTGTCAACCAGTTGTTTATTTGAAGTCCTGTATGGTTACAGATGCCCAATGGTAGATGTATTTTGTTTTTGGTTGCTTTATTCAGTTTCCATATACCTTGCTGCAGATTAATTGCTTTGAATGAACCAATATGTACCATAATCTGATAACAATCTGACTCTTCTCTGTAAATGGGAATCTGGGAGTATTGTAAGTATTAGCCTTGTCTTACAACAAATGAAGATCAAAATTCTTATAGCATTTGGAAGATTTAATTTCTAATATTGAAGTCAAATACTCTAGTGATATCAGACTTCTGCTATTGGCGACTATGTTCCAGAAGTATGCAGCACAGATCTCAGTCCCTGCTGAAACAGGACTAAAATATAGTGACTGGGGCTTGGCAGGGTGAACCTTCTATTATAAAAAGCTTCCAGCTGTATTCCCTTTACTCGTCATATTGACGTGAAATTCAATACCTAGTCAGGGACTCTGTTCTGTTGCCACTAATAGTAAGATGTAATTGTATGCTGTCAGTCATTAATTAACACTGTACGCAACTTGCTTATGTTCTGTACCATAAATCAATTTAAAAATGTAATGCGAATTTAAGCAACTTTGTTGAGATGAACTTCTAAAGCAGTAAATGTCCTGATACCATTCTAATAGTTTGATTATACTGTGTTGGTCAACGTCATATACATGATGCACTGTGACTTTAATGATTAAAATTTACTTCTGAACCCTTAAGGAATTGCTGATTTCTTTAATACAAGAAAAAGGCTAAAAATATGGGTCCAGAAATATCCAATTAGTACAGATGTTTTAAGAATTGGTACTGTGGCTGGTGCGAATTGTTGCTTGCTGAGTTTTCTTACAGCACAACCCATAATGCAAAGAAGCACCTTCAATACCATTTCCAAGTTGGGAGGATATGTTGGAAAGATATGAGTTACAATTCGGCCTTTTTAAATTTGGCTTTAATAGCTTCTAGAAGATTATAGACTGATTATCGCACAGAGAGGAGGTTTTTGAGTCTATTGTGTTTGTGCTTTTTTTGTGTAGCAGAGCATTCCATACAGCTCCCACCCTCAAAGCTCTTTCCCCATGTCTGAACAATTTTTAAATTTTGAGTAGTTATTCATGTCTTTTTTCATATTTCAAGTGTGTTAGTGATGCGCGTCTTTCACTGTTATATATTTGTGTATTTGTATCTGCTTTCTTTAATGCCTGTAGTTTTTGTATTTAAATTGCTGTTCTGATCCACGATCTTTTCTCATTCACGACCGAGTCAAAATGGTAACAAGATTCTTCAGGTTTAAAACAGTTTGTCATTTTATTTCCTGCTGCACAAATTTAAAGGATGCATTTAAATTGTGGTAAGTTTTATGGCATTTACTATTTCACCTTGTGAGATTTATTATGTAATTAGGGAATTTGTTCTGTTAAAAATTTCCAAATAGCTGAGGTATTGTTGGTTGATCTGTTTCCATCTGGTGTTTATCCAGGGTGCAATCATGAGGTATTCCTCAGTTACTTGCCTATGTGAGTCTCTAATGTGAGCCAGCAAAAATAGTGTTGCAGAAGGCTAGCTACTCAGTGTGGGTAATTCCAGAAGCCTGGAGACATTGCAGTGATTGTGTGTCAGCATAATTTGGTGCTGGCAGCTGTGAAGCAGTGTGCTTTAATTGACTTTTCACAGTGAATGTAGTCTTCACAGCGTCTTGTCCCAGGTTTGCTTCTTTTTAAAGTAAGTGTTCACTGCAGGAGCTAGGGCAGCAGGGATGGGGGAGAATTTTGATAGTTATACTGAAGGGTGAGGAGAGAAAAATAATAGGCATTACTCTGTCTGCTGCATTATAGCAAACAAGGTGATCCTTATGCCTTTTGATTAAATCATTTTATCTTTGACAGTGTGCTTCATGTCTGAATGGCAGTGTTCAGTGGAACATGTCATCTTACTTGTCTTGTTGCAGTGACTTAAAACTGTGCATGTGGCAACCATGTTGTGTGAATTGATGCCTCGCACCTTTGTGTGTGCAAGTATCTCTTGTGACAGCAGGATGCAGTGAGGTGCTCTGTTCCTTAGGTCTCCACTTGCTTTTTGAATTATATTCTTCTGGGCCACTGGAGCATTCTTCACATTAATAGTTTCATGTGCTTCCACTAGTAACTGTTGACTTTCCCCTCAACACTTCAACTATTGAGACATCCTTTACTTCATAAATGTCTTGATAATTTTAGAATTCTCATGATACCCCCTTATGCCTGTATTATTTTCTTACTGTTCAGACATCTACTGCACTCCATTTAAACAGTTTTACATTTCAATCTGTGTGTTTTACTCTATTTCTGACCATCTTCGTTTTGATTTATTCCTCATTAATATTATCCGTTTGTAATCTTTTCAAACTTTGTCAAAGGATCCATGATTAAAAGGTTAACTCTGATATTCTTGCCATACCAGCTGCCTGACCTGCTGAGTGTTTCCAGGGCTTTGTGTTTTGTGGGCTTTTCCTTCCTCTTTATGTGCAATGTTGAATGCACATTTCTTCAGTGATACTGGATAGTTGTCTTTCTCTCATGGAATGGAGGTTGTTGCAGTTTTAATTGATGAATCTGAAATGTGAAGTAACACTAATGGAGCGGGTTACATTTGTCTGTGTGCTAGCCTTATCACTGAAGATTACAGACAATGCTAGTAGTTGCAGAAGTCTCTCTTTGCCTGCTGTATTGCGCAGAATGTAGGGGTTTTTTCGCTTTGAGTAGTGTAAAGTGGTTTATAATGTAACTATTATTTGTTAAATATTCTGAAGTATTACTTGGTAAAGGTACATGGTAGGTGAAATTCATTGTAAAAATCCACTATTTATTTTCCCCAGATGTCCAGTTTTTGGTGAAGACTGTACACATACTGTTCTTGCTGCAGCTATGCCTAAAATCTTGAAGTCTTTAGTTCATTTCCAAACTGACCCTAAATTACAAGGAGAATCGTTGTTCAAGCCATCACTGTTTGGCTCCAACATTAATAGCTGGACCTTAAGTTGCCCATGTGCTAAACTGTAAAAGTTCCTCAGGAAAGCTCTCCTTTTTAAAAGTGTTCCTTTAGTCATTTGTCCTAATGCTACTATGAAGCATCATGGGATTATTGACTACATTTAAGGTGCTATATAGATGCAAGTTGTTTTGGGATGGCTGATCAGTCTTGTATGCTATGAAATCTTTACCACAGTTAGCCAGTAGAATTGTTTAATGTGACTTTTTGATCAAGTTAAGTTCTGTGTTTTGTGAAAGTAGGGTGTGAGGAGAAAGTGAACTGAAAGGATGAAACAAGCAGTTTTCATGTTTAATGTGGGATTGCTGTGCACATTTTTGTCTCAGTAGTTGTCTTTCCTGAGATTGGGATTGTGTGAAGCAGATGCCAAGTGTATGACTTACTATTGATTTTATTTTTGAAAGCACCAACTCATTCAAAAATTGTGCTTAGATTAAGTGAAAGGATACTGTGCCAGAGTCATAGAGATACACAGCATGTAAATAGACCCTTTGGACCAACTCGTCGATGCCAACCAGATATCCTAAACTAATCTAGTCCCTTTTGCCAGCATTTGGCCCATAGCCCTCTAAACCCTTCCTGCTCATATATCCATCCAGATGCCTTTTAAATGTGTTGGAGGCTGGCAAATTACCACTTCCATACACACAGCACCTTCTATGTGAAGAAGTTGTCCCTTACATCCCTTTAATATATTTCCCCTCTCACCTTTAAACTTGTGCCTCTAGTTTTGGACTCCCCTATCCTGGGAAAAAGACCTTGCCTATTTACCCTATCCATGCCCCTCATGATTTTGTAAACCTCCATAAGGTCACCACCCCGCTAGCCTCTGCTCCGTAGAAAATAACCTCAGCCTATTCAGTCTCTCCCTATAGCTGAAACCTTCCAACCCCTTTTAAACTTTTAATGCTTGGCATGTAAATGAAGTTTACCAGGAATTAATTATGAATTTCATATCCAACAAATTTTAAACAACAAATGCACAAGAAGTTCAGTTTCCTGTTTGGAAATGTTTCAAGAGGTGACTGTGGTCCAGGCAATGAGAGTTGATAATCATTTATGTGCTGCAAACTTGGTTCTAACCTGCCAACAGGCTGTTAGAATGAGGAGCAGAGAGGCTGACGTTTCGGGCCTCGACCCTTCATCAGAAAAGCCTT